AAAGAAAAAACACTTTGGTACTATCATTAGAAAAACTAAAATTATTTTCTGAAGTTCTCCACTTATTCTTAACAAATCTTTGTAAAAATGCAGCAGCTTCTTCATACAAATATGTCATAGGTAAACATGTGTCTTAAAAGTCCATAACTCCTTCAATTATTATGAATGCCAAAGCACCTGAAACCTTTTTTCTCCATAAAATCTTGCTCTCAGACCATTAACAGCAATTTATAAACTTTAACAAGTTAACGCATCTTTCAAATAAATTAGCTCAAAACTTGTCTATGATATTTCTTTTCCTTACTTGGCTTGAAAATTCTAAGCGTAATTTCCATTAGTCCAATTCAGAAATTCCCAAAGACTATAAGAGTTTATACCCTTTCTAGCCACATTCTAAAATAGTTCTCTTCACACACACACACACACACACACACACACACAATGGGTTACTCCTTGCTGTTTCCCTGCACTTACCTATATGTGTGTGTCTATGCTCAGATAATCTTATTTTACTCAATCACACAAAGCATTTAACAAAATGATCATCCCTTCCTTCTTGTAAGTCTTCACTTAGCTTCAGAGATACCATATTCTTCAAGTTTCCTACCATCTTACCAGTTTATCCCTGTCAGTCTCCTCGGCCAGCTCCTCCCTTCCATTCTAGCCCCTGAATGGTGGAAGTGCTGTAGGCTCATTCTTTGTCTCTTTAGCTACACTCCCCACGTCGTCTAGGTGATCTCATCCAATTCTATGGCTTTTAGTATATGATGGTGTCTTTCTCATTTATGGAGAGAATGGATGCCCTTCTACCTTCGTTCTACCTTTGTAATTATTTGTGTAAACCCAAGCCTCTAATTCTTTCAAGGTCTACACAAATGCTACTTCTTGCCCCATGATTTGCTCTTTTCTCCCAAGCCCCAATACCATCCAAAGTGAAAAAATCCTCTCCTTTCCTTCTAACCTGCCAAAGCATTATTAATCTTCTCTTTTCAATGCACGTATCCTCTCCTTACCTATTATTATTTATGTTTACATCATCTCCATTTGTAGGCTACAATATCTCTAAGAACAAAGTATGTATCCTACATCTTGGCTTTCTCCACAATACAGTCAAAAGCTGCAATAACTTACTGTGTTTGCAGGTGCTCATCAAAAAGTATTTAAAAATCATTAATTCACACCACATTAAAAAAAAAACAAAAACACTGAGATCTCCATGCAAGTAGGGTTTAATGTCAAAAACAGTTAAAAAATATTGCTGATTAAGCTTTTGGCAATAAACGAGGTTTTTTTTAATGCTTTAATAAATTATGTAATTAAAATCAGTTTGTCCTTTTCATTCTCTCCTGGCTTCCGAGAAGCCAATATTTGCATTTTGTTGTTACTGTTGTTAAATTCTAATATATCTAACTTAGTTTCAAATTCTACTACAAATTGAATCTAAAAATAAGTTAAATCTCTAGAGATGATAGAAGGCACCTGGTGGCAAACACGTCCTTGAAGAGTCTGAGTAAAATTTTTTCATGAAATGTAAGATCGGAGAAAAGCTATTTGTAAAAATAAAATATTTTTTATATATGCAAGTTTGCGTATGTATTTTAAACTAAATTAAATGTTATAAGAAAAAATAAAAACAAGTTAAACCTACCAGCTGTCCTGCTTTGTATATCTTTCCATCCCATTCTATTGCCGAGTATGTTGCCCAGGGGCCTTGCTTTTTAGAAGGAAGATCAGGACGTGTAATTACTCCTTTAAACAATGTAAATTTTATTTGTTTATCATACTTTTCATGACAGTCCTTCAGCCATAAAGCAAATTCTCTGTCAATTTTCATTCGTTGCTCCTGTAAAATTTTAAAATGTTCTATGAAATATAGGCTACTAGCATACAAATATAACCATAGATACTTGTCACTCACTTCATTTTTCCTTCCATATACCCCAAATCAGAAAACCTAATAAAAATTAAAATATTTTGCCAAATCCTTCTCTTGTAAAAATTTAGGAGATTGCAAACAAAAGCATTACCAAAGAAGACATCTCTGATATCATTCTTGGAACCAAGATCTCATTGATATCAACAATATCAACAACAATATATCAACAATATCAATATCAACAACAAATATTAACAACAAAATCAATATCAACAACAAAACTTTCCTTTCCTACTTTATTAGGTCATTAAATATGAAATGTCCGATTTTGAATCAAAAATGTAATTTATTATATCTCAAACAAGAAGCAGTACAATTAATCAAAGTATGTGCCTAAACTATCAACACAGTTTTGCCATCTTCACAGTAGCGTGCTTATGCCAGCAGCGAAGAAGCCTGGAAGAGTGAGAGGCAATGAAATCACGAAAGGCATTTTCCACGGTTTGTTCAGAATTGAATATTTTTCCTTGCAAGAAGTGGTCCAAAGCCTTGAGGAAATGGTAGTCAGTTGGTGTACGGTCTGGTGAATATGGTGGATGAGAGAGAGTTTCCAAGTCCAGGTTCTGTAGTTTGAGCAGCATTGTTTTTTGCAACATCTGGTCTTGTGAGAGGATTGGCCTGTCTCTACTGACTGATCTCAGCTGCTTAATCACAGCCATCCTCATCGTTTCATCCAGTTGGTTGCAGTAGACATCCACTGTAATCAATTGACCAGGTTTCATGAAACTGTGGGGATAATACCAGAGCTGGACCACCAAACAGACACCATTAGCTTTCCTTGATGAATATTTGGTTTTGGAACATGTTTCAGCACTTCATCTTTATCCAACCATTGTGCCAAATGCTTGCAATTGTCAAAAAGAATCCATTTTTCATCACATGTAACAATACAGTGTAGAAATGATTCACCTTTGTGTTGCGACAGCAAAGAAAGACAAGATGATTTCTCTTCTGATCCTCATTTAATTCATGCAGTACCCATCTATCCAGCTTCTTTACCATGTCCATTTGTTTCAAATGGTCCAATATTGTTGGAATGGTAACGTCACACCTTGCTGCTAATTCACACGTAGGTTGGGATGATTCCACTTCCACTACAGCTTTCAGCTCACCATTACCTTATCTTAGTCTCAGGTCACCCACATGGCTCATTTTCAAGATTAAAATCACCAGAATGGAACTTCTCAAACCACTGATGTACTATGCGTTCATTAGCCACATCCTTCCCACATACTTTGTTGATATTTCGAGCAGTCCACGATGCATTGGTTCCATATTAAACTCACAGAATAGAGTTTAATAGAACTCATATTTAAAAATAACACAAATTTTTTGGTTTTGCAAAAATTGCTCTAAAAAAAAATTTGAGAGATAATCACAAGCCAAAATGTGCATTTGAAAGAATGAGGATATACCTTCACAATTAAAAAAAAAA